CTGAAGAAGACAGCAAGGTGTAAGGACTTACCCCCCAAACACCAAGTTTCCATAAAGCCACAGTATTAAAGACAGTGGCAATTGTGCAGGGACAGAGAAATAAACAAATGGAACAGAACTAAGCGCTCAGGAACAGGGTCACACACATACATAAACTTAGGGTCAGTGGCAAATGATGATTTAGTCAGTAAATGATGCTGGGACAATTGAAATGAAAACAAAGCTAAGAATTGGATACCTATCTGACAACATACATAAAAACTCAATTCTGAATGATGGACCATTTTTTAAATATGAAAAACAAAACTATTCAAACCAAAGCATTTTAAAATATAGAGTATCTTTAAGAGCTTATTTTAAGAAATGATTCTTAAATTTTTTTAATTGAGTTTTCAACTATATTAAGCTTAAGGGACAAACATTTTAATTATAATAAAAGTAGGAGCTCTTTCCAATGAAAGAAAGAAAAAAAGGAAAGAAAGGACAATGAAAAGGAAAAATAGAAAGATAGGCCAAAAACTAAGAAATGCAGCATTACTAACCATACTAATACAAAATGCTCTCAAAAATCAGTAAGAAAAAAAAATCGGCAAAAAACAAAAAATGGTAAACACAAATAGCCAATAAATATTTTAAAAGTTGTTTAACTTTATTAGTAATCAGAGAAAGCAAATTAAACCACAACAAGAAATCATCTCACATCCATCAGATTTGGGGGAAACATTTAAGCATTGACAAAAATGTAGAACTCTCCCACATTCCTGATAAGAAACTAAATTGGTACATTACTTGAGGAAAAATTTGGTTTTACTAGGAAAGCTGAAGATGTGCACCCGATGTTCCAGCAATTCTACTGATAAATCTTTGCACACATGCACCAACAAATAGGGACAAAAATATTCACAGAAGCCCTGTATACAATAGAAAACTGCAAAGAATCAAAATGTCAGTCAATAACAGTGAAATAACAGAGTGAAAAGAATGAACACTACCTACATGCATCAATATGGATTAATCTCAAAAACAAGCAAAATAAACAAGTCAGAGCATATACCGGGATGCCAAAAAAATGAATACACATTTTAAGAGATGTTATCTATGCTCAAGCAGTACTTTGCCGTAATCAGAAGTGTCTAGATGCTGATGGTAACCACTTTGAGCACCTCTTGTAAATGCAGAAGTCAAACGTGACTTATATTCATCTTTTGTTATCAGTATATATTGAGTATTACAATTAATACAGTTTTTTCCTTTCTTAAAATGTATATACATTTTTTTGGCATCCTCTCTGTATATGGTATGGTTCCATTTATACAAAGGTCAAAACTAATTAAACAACGTACCATTTAGCAATGCCCACATGTGTAATAAAACTAGAAAAACTTAGGGTACTTAATACAAATTTCAAGATAATGTTTATTTCTGGCTGGTAGACAGAAGGTCTTGAGGAAGTGCAATCTATTGTGCTAACAGGTAAAGTTCCATTTCTTAAACTGAATGAGAGGCCCACATGAGTTCACTTAATCTCTCTGGAAAGTACTGTGTACATATCAGTTACACATACTTCTCTCTGTGCGTTATATATTACATAATATATTTTAGGTGACTCAGAAGATATCCAAAAAGCTGTTTTAAATTATCTTCTTGCTCATCCTCCTGTTTAAAAACAAAAAATGCCGTGGATACATAAAAGTGGTCTTTTAACTGCAATAAAACAATGATAGTAGCATCTGTTACTTTACGGGCTGCTTTTTAAAAAATTGCTACTGAAGATATTCATGCATACACTACCCTATATAATGCACATCAATTTGTTTTCCAAAGCAACACTCAAGTGCAAGACGTTAAAGCTTTGCACAGAAATACAACATGGTCTTTACTGACCTGAACCAATATAACCACCACTTTTTTACACATCAATTGATATGCACCCTGCATCTGTTAATGAAATCCTTTAAATCTATTTCAGTGAGAGCAACATTAAGACAAATATATTAAGTGCTAGGTAAACACTGAGGGAAGCTATCATTTAATTATGATACATCAGACTTCCACCTTAGTTGCCACGTGAAGTCTCAAAAGGATCGTATTTGCTTAAAGCAAGGATACTTGAATGAGAACAGCAACAACTAGATGGCTTTAGGCAAATTCATTTCAATATAATTATATCCCAATAAAAAGTGTTTTCCAATTTCCCCAGCACCGCTGGCGGTTACTTTTATGAGGACTCATTCTGGGAGATTAAAACCCCGAAAATTAACAGCCATATGAGCCAGTAACAGATTTGAGAATCTCCCCAAATTTCCTTGAAACAGGTTATCTTCCATACTTCCAGATTTCCTTTCCGGAGTCCTGGGGTGCGGTGAGCAATGGGGGAAAGAAAGATCGCTGGGGAGTTAAAAAGAGTCCGTAAATCATATGCACAAAAGATAATCAGTTGGGACCTTGCTAAACATTAAGTTATCTAACCTCCTAATTTTGCGGCTGGGGAAACTGTCTCAGGGAGAAGCCCACCTGCTCAGGATCTAACATCTACTTAAATCCGTCTCCTCCCCTAGCTCTGGGTGGTACTTCTCACCCACTCCCAAACGCCTCAATTGGTTGCCAACACAGAGGTGGTGAGAAAACCCGCACCTCCGCAGTGTGTGGCCAGATCGTCAGGGTAAGAAAGGGTCGTAGAATTAACCTGGTTAACTCCTCTCACTAGAGGTGGGGAAACTGACAAGAGAAAGTGACGCAGCTCGGGCGGTCAATCACCAACCCTCTGCCACGGAGCCTTAGGAACCTGACAAAGGCAGTGAAGATCACTGGCGACCCCACTTTCTGTCTCCAGGACGGGTGTCAAAAAAATTAGAAAAAAAACCCAATCCCTAGATTTCATTCAGCAAGAATCACGCGCTTCCCACGCAGAACCTGGAAGAAGGGGCGGCAGAAAAATGTGAACAGCTGGTCCACGGCACCGAGAATGCTAGGGCGGCACAGGCACCGACTCCCGCCTCTCTCTTCAGCATCCGCTGGTGGAAAGAAGGGGAAAGAGTAAGGCTGCGGCGCCTCCCGCGAGAAGAGGTACCTGAGGGTCTGGCCGCAGTCCCCCGCCGCATCTGCACTGGATCCGGCACCCAGCTTCCGGGGTCAAATCGCCGCGGGGAGGCCCGAGATCAAGGGAGGAAGCCTCAGGCCCCGCCCCATTCAAGCCCCGCCTCCGCTGGGCACACAGCGGGGGACCGAGGCAACTTCCGGGACGCCGCGCGTCACTAAGTAGGAAATCTCCACTTCCGGACGCATCCCTCCTTTCGCCATTGCTTTCACGGACTGCGCGCGTGTCATCAAAATTTCCGCGCACTTGATTGGTGGAGCGAGAGTGGTGGTCTCCGCCAATTGGTGCTGGGGAAATCCGTCCCATAGACGCCCGCGGGGCGCTCATTTTCAGTTTTTGCTTGTTGTCCGCGGTCTCAGGCGGCTCCGCAATCATGGTGGAGGTGGTGGAGTTGCCGAAGACCCGTATTAACGCCAGCATGCTATCTCAGTTCATCGACCGGCCCGTCTGCTTCGTGGGGAGACTGGAAAAGGTGCGCGCGCTTGCCGCCCGGTTCTTCCCGGTCCGGGTGGAGGGACCCCGTGACCGCCTGGGTTGAGGGGGTTGAGGCCTCAGGGTGGGTAACAGAGGGTTGAAGGAGGACCGAAAGCTTCGCTGTGCTCCCGGATAGCTTTATTTTGCACTAGGGGTCTTTTTACACACTTTAGCTATTGCAGCCCCATTTTGGCTCCTCTTTCATGGCGCGAAATAATGTTTTCGAATGCTCTACGTTCCGAATTCTAGTCCCTCCCACACACCCTCGTTCTGTTTGTGTTTACATAACAAGAAATTGTAGACCTGACTGCCACATCTACTTTCTGATATTATAGGTTAGTCACACTTGCCAGCTAGTCTCATTTGCTGCTTCTCTTCTGCAGTTCTTCGCAAATCTCGTTTTCTCGTTGAAGTCATTTCTCCATAAAACATTTAATTGTCCCTTCCAGATCCCATAGCGGTCAGTTATCTTGCTTCAGTGTGCAGCCCCTTCATTCAGCTAGTGAGAAATAGGCCCCAAAGCCTCGGAATCAGTGAACTGATAAAGCTGAAAGACAAACTAGTGTTACATAAAGGCTTATTTTGTTGTCCGTTTCAGCCACACATCCTCTTCGTGAAATAGATGTTTTATTCCGACGTAACGGGTAGGGAAACTGGGTAGGAGTGGCATAGGGTTAAAATGCTCAAGGCCACACAGCAAGTTACAAAGCTGGCATTCAAACCGGATTTGACTGCACTCTTGGCAGCTGCCTCACAGGAGTAGAACCCAGATCTTGCATCAGTTATCTCTTCATCATGCCTAATTTTTACTGGTAAAACATACCCTCGGTGGGATATGTATTATTTATTGGGTTGTCGGAAAAGTCATGACGCATTTTTGCAACGAAAAACAGAAAAAATATGTCATGACTTTTCCGACAACCCAACCAATCATGGGTGCCAGTAGAGCTCACTTTTAGATAGTATGGACCCCTTTGTTCTTAGCATAGTGTTGCAGATTTAGCAATTAAAAATATATTTGTACAGAAGTACTGTTGTTTTCTGAAATTGAAACTGAATTGGGCGTCTTTTGATAAGATTGTAATTTGAACCAAATAAACTGTTAAAAGACAATTTCTTTGTGTGCATCTACTAAGTAAGTTTGGTCAGTCTGCCCATCTTTTGTCAAACTTTTAATATTTTTAATGAGATTTTAAAGGTTTTGTTTATGTGATATTTTTAAATTGTTTCTTTTTCAGATTCATCCCAGTGGAAAAATGTTTATTCTTTCAGATGGAGAAGGCAAAAGTGGAACCATTGAGTTGCCGGAACCCGTATGTTTTAAGTATTAATTCAAGTGTATTGTAGTTAATTCTATATCTTGTTTTGGTTTGTTGCTTATATTTCTGGATTCTTTGAGTGGATGTGTAAAGGACCAGCTTATAAAACTACCCTGGCTCTAAAATTAAGTTTTGTGGTCTTTTTAACATTGTATTTCCCTTTATGTGTATAACCAATGATTCTTTAGGCTCTGATTTTTTGTTACATCCCTTGGATACTGGATGACAATTCGTATTTCTTAGAAAGAACATAAAATCATGTAAGAAAAACCTCCCATTTAGATCGCTTTCCTTCCAAGAGTTTTACATTTTTTAATTGTTTTCTATATTTACATATATCGATGTTTTCAATTGTCAGTTAATTTGTTTTACATTTTATGTTTACATTTTCTTGGCCTTTTAAGACAAATCCTTATGCTGTTTGGTTAATATATACAGAACACACGGTGCAAGTTACAGATAATAGAAGGTTCCTTTCAGTGGGTCTGTTTTAAACAAATTACTCCTCATAGAAATGCTGGACATTCTCAGTATCTTCAAGTGATTTTACCTTCATCTTAAACTTTAACTGTATCTTGGGACCTAAAGCCACAGTTACAGATACAGGCCTTGTTACATGCTGACAGTAAGTACACAAACATTTTTTTAAAGTTATAATTGAATTTTTGCATTGGCAATACTTTATTGTTATATGAAATGAAAGATTAGTAGGCTGTATAACAATTTTCCAATTATCAACTGAAAATGTGAACATGAAGTTGACATTATAGTCTTTGTTTTAGCTTGATGAAGAAATCTCTGGAATCGTGGAAGTAGTTGGAAGAGTAACAGCCAAGGCAACCATTATGTGTGCATCTTATGTCCAGTTTAAAGAAGATGTCCATCCTTTTGGTAAGTAAAGCATTCTAGTTTGATGTATTAGGAGGAAAACAATTTTATTCTTAACTTGATATGTTTTGGTCTTGACTCTCAGTCTTGCTACATTTTCAATGTCTATAGAATTTTCTGATCCTAAAGGAAAACGGGATGACATTTTGGCCTGCTTCTAAGTAGTATATGTGTGTATACTTGTATGTAGGAAACTCAGCAGATATTAATATTTGTAGAAAGAGAAAATTTTAAAATAGGGCAAATAAAAAGTGTTAATCTTTTTATGTTTTGTTTTACTATATGGATGAAAGGCCTCAAACAATGCATAACACCTAAAACACCACCAGGCAAGAACTGCCTGTACAATGGATAGTCTCCTATGCCTCCATGTCTTTATATTTGTTGGAGCCACAATTAAATAAATACGATGATCCATATCTGAGTTTTAGAAGATATATTTTGAAAATAAGTTGACCACTAAAAGGGAGAGGAAAGAGAAAGAGGTAGAAATCTTTCAGATAATTGATGTTACAACTTTCCAGTGTAGATTAAATCTCTGCTAAAATGTTTCTTTCAGATCTTGGACTTTACAATGATGCTGTGAAAATTATCCATGAGTTCCCCCAGCTTTTTCCTTGGGGAGTTGTGCAACATGATTGATCTTGATTGCAAATAAGCTACATTGAAGAGTATTAAGGCCCCTGGTATTTGAGGGAGCGATTCTGTTATTTTTTAATATTTAATTTTTTCCCTTTTTAATTTCATTTGCCTAACTTTATTAGATATTCTAATATGCCGTTTTTGATGGAACTGGTATAGTGACAGTTCTCATCTATATGTCCATATAGCATCACTTCTCTGGCATATGGTCAGATAAATGAAAGAACAAAGCTGTTGTCTTAGTTTTCTGTTTTACTAATAAAAGTTTAAATGCTACATACTATTGGTCATTTCATTCTTTTTCTTTTAGTCAGGTATTTAAGCACAAACTTGAAATTTCATAGCTATAAGGTCAGAACTTAGACCTACCAAATGAAACCCTGGGCCAACTGTGTTAAGAATTTTCTTGAGGCCGGCCGAGTGGCTCAGTTGGTTAAGAGCTCACTCAACAGTGCGAGCTCTGAGCAACAGGGTTGCTGGTTCGATTCCTGACCCGAGCTGAACTGTCGTGGAGCTGCCAACCGGTGGCAGTATGGCTTAGCTAAAAAAAATAATAATAATAAAAAAAGAATTTTCTTGCTACCTTATGAACTACACCAGGTTATTTCTTCACAGACTATGAAAAAAAATGATTTTGATTTATTGAAAGAGCAAACAGAATCCTACATCTTCTATAATTTATGAGTACCTATATTAGATTTCTCCAGAGAATCAGAACCCATAGAAGATGGATGGGAGGGAGGGAGGATTAGATAGAGATTTGTTACAGGAATGGCTTACGTAGTTATGGAGCCCGAGAAGTCCCATGATGCAGCACCTGCAAGCTGGAGAACTAGGAAAGCCGGTGGAGTAATGTAGTTTGAGTCCGAAGGCCTGAGAATTGGAGTTGATGGTGTAACTCGCAGTCCAAGGTTGAAGACCTGAGTACTGGAGCCCACTGGTGTAAGTCCCAGTATCCATAGGCCCAAGAACCAGAAGCTCCAATGTCTAACAGCAGGAGAAGATGGACATCCCAGCTCAAAAGAGCAAGTTTGCACTTCCTCTGCCTTTCTGTTCTCTTTGGGCTCTCAAAGGATTGGATGATGCCCACCTACTTTGGTAAGGGCCATCTTCTTTACTTAGCCTACTGATTCAGATGCTAATCTCTTCCAGAAATACCCTCATAGACACCCAGAAATAATGTTTTACTAGTTACCTGGGTGTCCCTTAGCTCAGTTAACACATAAAATTCACCACCACAGTACCTCTTAGGATTTAAAACGGAGCATTTACTAGTGCAAAATAAGGGTACCAGATCTCATTAAAACAGTTGGTGGAATCATGATTTTTTTCTTCCTTTCAACTGTCATTATCTTTAGTATGAAATTCCTGTTTACTTGTATTTCGTACCACCAAGTAACTGGGGGGTAGACAGGTGAGGGTGTGGCAAGTGTAGGATAGAGAGTAATACAGAATAACTGATGACTACATGGCCAGTCATGTTTTATGGCTTGAACCTTTCTCTTCACTAAGGAAATAAGCTAAATCTATTTAAATTATAAATTATACCAAAAATGCATATTTTAAATTGACATCAATTTCAACTTTTATCCCAAAATATTCTACAAATTACTTAAGAGATATGCCACTTCTGGGAAAGCATTAAAGGAAGTAAGGAGAATTTTAGTTGAAATTGAGGGACATCAATCAGTCTCAATAACACAATGTTGTCTGAATGCCAGAGATGAGGTTAGTCCTCAATTGTGTTAATCTCTGAAAACTCAGTGCTATTAAATGTTAAAGGTGCCCTGGCTTGAAACCGTTGCTTGAGCTAATGTGTTCAGTAAATTGGATTAAATGAACATGGTATCTCACTTTCCATCAAATGAATCCTTTATACTTATTTATGTACCATATCTCTAGCCCCAACCTCACTTCTGAGCTGTTCTACCTGGATCTGCACCGTCTAGACTTAGATGGACCACCAGCACTTCAGCTTAAACGAGTGTAATTTGAATGAGTGTAGCCTCCTTGAAATGTGTTCCCTGATTTTGGGGTAATTTTATTAAGATATAATTCACACATACAATTCACCTATTTTAAGTGTACAATTCAGTGGCTTTTGGTATATTCACAGAGTTGTACAACCATCACCACAACCAATTTTAGTACTTCTGCCCCAGAAGGAACCCCATACCATTTACCTATCATGGCCCAATCTCACCACCACCCCAGCTCTTAGAAACCACAGATCTACTTTCTGTCTATAGATTTGCCTATTCTGGAGATTTCATATAAAGAGAATCACAATGTAGTCTTTTGTGACTGACTTCTTTCACTTAGCATAATGTTTTCAAAGTTCATCAATGTTGTAGCATATATCAGGGCTGCTTCCCTTTTAATCGCAAATAATATTCCATTGTATGGATAATGCCACATCTTTAACCCATTAGTCGGTGGATATTTGAGTGGTTTCCATCATTTGGCTATAATGAATAATGTTATGAACATTCATATATAAGTTTTTGCGTGTGCATGTTTTTATTTCCTTTGGATATATACCTAGAAGTAGAACTGCTGCATCAAATGGTAAATATGCTTAACTTTTTGAGGAACTGCCAAACTGTTTTCCATAGTGTTTGTACCATTTTACATTTCCAGCAGCAGTATTTGAGGATTCTAATTTCTCCACATCCTCACCCACACTTGTTACTATCTGACTTTTAATTATAGCCATCATAATGGGCATGAAGTGGTATCACGGTCTTGATTTGCCCTGTATCTTTTAAAACGACCGTAAGCCATCCTCACTGCCCAGAAAGCTCAATATCATCAATCCTTTTCACTGCCATTGTCACTATAAGTTCAGGCAGTTGTCATCTGCCACAGCCCTAACTATGTCACTGGCCTACCTGCTTCCAGCTTCTGCCTGTCACCCAGCCATCAGAGCTGCAAAGAACATCAGTTGTAATCATACTGTAAAGTTTAAAAACCAGAGAAGTGTGGGAAGGGGAAAACCTCCTGGGAAGTTTACAGGGGAGAAATGTCAATGTTACCTTAAGGAAGGGATCAAGGTTAACATCGCCAATGACAACATGTGGATACCATGTGCTGTGATAAGAAAGCACTTTATCTCTGTGGTATTTTCTTATCCAAAACCCTTAACACCAGTCTACTCATGACAAAACATCAGACACTCAAATTCCTGGACATTGTACAAACTGATCACTACCTCTTAGGACTGTCAAGGTCATGAAAAACAAACTCACAGAAAAGACTAAGGAGACCTGACAGAATAAGGACATTGATGGAAAAACTGGTGAAATCAGAATAAAGTCCGGAGTTTAGTTGAAACTAGTATTGGTTTCTTAGTGTTGACAAATGTACCACAGTAATGTAAGATAAGATAAAGGGAGACAAACAGAGGGGTTATATAAGAACTCTATTATTTTCATAATTTTTCCATTTGGAGTAATCTAAAATTACTCCAAAATATATTTAAAAGAAATTAACAACCCTCAAAGACTCCCCACTGACTAGATCAGGTCCATATTTCTAATAAGCAGTTGAAGACTTGCCCAATCTGACCACATCCACCTCAGTCCCAAATTCTCTCTCCCCTTGAAGCTGCCCTCCAGCACCAAGCTACCTATCAGAACACATTGGCCCCTTTAAGATCTGGGTGCCACTGAATTTGGTGTTTGCTCTGATTGAAATGTCTGTTTCTGTGCCTCAAGGAAAACATTCTCTAAGCTTTCCCTAACTTAGGTAAGCAGTTACTTACCTTATGTTACATTCCTTTCTTTATACCTGTCATCACACTTAACTTGCTGATAACCTTTTTTTTTCATAATTTTTTTTTTTTAATGTAAACACTACAAAAGTCAGAAAGTCAAGTTCCTGGTGTCTCCCCAGAGACAGTGCTATGGATTGCAGGATTGCTTTCCAGAACTTTCTCTACATAAACTGTCTATAGGACCTCAATATACTATCTCATCCTTTTTTAATGGTTGCAGAATGTCCATTGTGCCAAATGTTCCCTGATCTGTTTAACCAGTCCTCTAATTAGTCTTCCCTATTAAAGAGAGGTGCTTATAGATGAAGAGCCTGTAGTTTAAAAATCTGTCGTATTGGGATTTCCCCATGGCTAACACTGTATGAGTAAATTAGTCCATCCAGCCTGGTTTGAGAAGCCATAAGGCTGAGCGGAGAGGTGAAGGCCTGAACCATAACAGGTGCAGTGGCAAAGGACAGGAGGCAAGGATTTCAGAATGTATCATATTGGATTCCACAGGACACACAGTGATGTTGCCAGGAGCTAAACAGAATAAGAACCAAGGATGAAGTCAAAATGTGAGGAGGCAATAAATTCACTTCAATACAAATTTAAGTACATAGTTGATAGGCCCTTTAGTGAAGATGTCCAGAAAGTATTGAAAATGTAGGACCGGATGGAGATTTGAGAGACAACCTGCCTAAAATATTTAGAGTTTAGGAGATGTACCAATCCCTTATCTGCAATTTCTAAACTCATTTGGCAACAAAACCTGTTAAGAATTGTAATGAAGCTACCTACAATCTTAATCCCATTTACTGTCAATACTCATATGCTTCACTGCAGAAACAGTAATATATTTGATTAGAGCATGATCCCCCTCTGGGGAAGGCATTAGAACGTATGATAGATCTGACTGTTCTAAAATCAAAAAATTCTGAAATCTGAAGCACACCTGGCCCCAAGAGCTTCAAGTAAGGGATTGTTTTCCTAAATCAAGGGACAACACAGAGTGAGAAAAGCACAGAACCAATGAGAAAACCTGGGGAGCTGTGCACTTAGAGAACAGCAGTAAGAGAGTGACTGAGCCAGAACCCCAACGACGCCTGACACTTGGTAAGCATTCACTATTTATTTACTGAAAGAATGTCATGAAATATAAGGAAGGAGAATTTCAAAAAGTAGTCAATAATGTTGACAGCTCAAAGACAAATTGAAGCTAAGGACTGAGGATACAGCAGACATTCCTAACATATATCACACTTACTTCTAAAAAGGATTAGGCTACAGAATTGAAAAGGGAAATGTGTGGAAAAAAGGAGATGACAACTACAAAAACACTCAACAGGAAATATAACTAGTCATTAAATGTAGCTCCACATGTCCCTGGGAAGCTAAGAAAAAGAATAGGCTATAGAATTGTAATAGCTTTAAATTCATTAGGACACTCAAACTTTCCCTAATATTAAATTCTAAAAGTAGTATCGCACAGAATCTAATGTGAAGGATGAACTACCAAATG